TGGAGGTTCACAAAGTGCTGCACCTGCCACGACATCTGCGCGTGGAGGTTCACAAAGTGCTGTGCCTGCCACGAAATCTGCGCATGGAGGTTCACAAAGTGCTGCGCCTGCCACGAAATCTGCACTTCAAGAGACAAGTGAAAACCTAATCACAATGGACGGACGACCGACCATGACCCGAGACCGTCTCGCAACCGTCGTTCCGCAGAGCTAGACTTGCCAGGTTCGAAGCCACCGGTTCTATTGAAAAATACAGCATTTCCGTCCGCTATCTCTCGAAAACGCATTTTGTATTGCACCTGCCACGAAATCTGGACCTGGAGGTTCACAAAGTGCTGCACCTGCCACGAAATCTGCACATGGAGGTTCACAAAGCGCTGTGCCTGCCACGAAATCTGCGCATGGAGGTTCACAAACTGCTGTGCCTGACATGAAATCTGCACCTGGAGGTTCACAAAGTGCTGTGCCTGCCACGAAATCTGCACCTGGAGGTTCACAAAGTGCTGCGCCTGCCACGACATCTGCACATGGAGGTTCACAAAGTGCTGTGCCTGCCACGAAATCTGCACATGGAGGTTCACAAAGTGCTGCGCCTGCCACGAAATCTGCACTTCAAGAGACAAGTGAAAACCTAATCACAATGGACGGACGACCGACCATGACCCGAGACCGTCTCGCAACCGTCGTTCCGCAGAGCTAGTCTTGCCAGGTGCGTCCGCTATCTCTCGAAAACGCATTTTGTATTGCGCCTGCCACGAAATCTGCACCTGGAGGTTCACAAAGCGCTGCACCTGCCACGAAATCTGCACATGGAGGTTCACAAAGTGCTGTGGCTGCCACGAAATCTGCGCATGGAGGTTCACAAAGTGCTGTGCCTGACATGAAATCTGCGCCTGGAGGTTCACAAAGTGCTGTGCCTGCCACGAAATCTGCACCTGGAGGTTCACAAAGTGCTGCACCTGCCACGACATCTGCGCATGGAGGTTCACAAAGTGCTGTGCCTGCCACGAAATCTGCGCATGGAGGTTCACAAAGTGCTGCGCCTGCCACGAAATCTGCACTTCAAGAGACAAGTGAAAACCTAACCACAATGGACGGACGACCGACCATGACCCGAGACCGTCTCGCAACCGTCGTTCCGCAGAGCTAGACTTGCCAGGTTCGAAGCCACCGGTTCTATTGAAAAATACAGCATTTCGTGCGTCCGCTATCTCTTCGAAAACGCATTTTGTATTGCACTTGCCACGAAATCTGCACATGGAGGTTCACAAATTGCTGCACCTGCCACGAAATCTGATGAGTGGTGTATGATGAGTGGTGGTTTGGTGAGTGGTGGTTTGATGAGTGGTGTATGATGAGTGGTGTATGATGAGTGGTGGTTTGATGAGTGGTGTATGAT